CAAGGTCCCACTGGATGAGCTGTTAAGTGTCGCTGAGTAGGAGGACGTCTGGGTTTCTCTCCTGGACCTGTTGCCTCCTCGACCCGACTACAGATAAGCATCAGAAGATGGAGACAGATAAACTTCCCCATTGAGATTTCTTCAATTCCATTAAAGTAGAGATGCTCGACATTGACTTTTTGCCAATATTCGATATGTTGATATTGTTCAACATTTAATTTTCGTTTCCAATATTAACCGATATTACAAACCGACATAAAGTGACATCACATACTGTATCTCCTGTCAGGGACATTATGCCTGCTTTTACTGTAATACCCCACTAGATGCATTTCAAAGGGAAACATTGGGCCTCATGCAAGAACATGTTCATATTCTTATCCTAAATTTCTCTTACTTTTGTTCGTATGAAGGGTTCGTACGAACATGTCACGTCAGATTTAACAAACTCTTCTATCTTCAGGAAAAGTGTGTAAATGAGCTGCGTAAATTACACCTGTTCTATCCAGCNGCAAAAGTAGCAAAACTGCAGCAAAATTGAGATTTTACACGACCATTTTCACCAGCTGCTTTTGAACTCTGTTTCAYTTAGTGGTGTGATGCCATCATTTTGCAGGTAACACAACTGACATGCTTCAAAGGAGATGCAGTTTATTGTCTATGCTGGCTTTAAAGCAGCACACTCTTATTTTAAGACATTAATACATTTTTGARGCTCTCGCGGGCCACATAAAATGCTGTGGATTTATGGTGGAGGCTGAGGATGAGTGGTTAGAGGAGTCATCCTCTAATGAGAGAGTTGGTAGTTCAATTCTACTGCTAGTCAGTCACACGTCAAAGTGTCTCAGGGCAAGACGCTGAAACCCTCACTACTTCTGATGTGTGTCCCATCAGTGTGCGAATGTGTCTTAAGCACYGATTCGTCTCCATTGATGATTTATGCATCAGCTTTGTAGAGACATTATAGATGTTGTGTGAAAGTATGAATGGGTCTAAATGAGGGCAAATGTGTACTGTACAYGTAAAGCCCTTTGAGTATCCTGGTTGGATAGAAAGATGCTATATWAGTACAGTYCATTTRTTGTTTTWGCTTWACRWYGGGCCTGTGAGTTTTGAGTTTGACCTGTAAATGAAAAAACATACATCAAACCACATATTTAGTTTTTATTTTAATTCACATAAACCTTGTATAAAAAGGCTACACTTGGAGGCAACCTTGTATTAAAATATTACATATTGTTTTTAWCCTTAAGGTTTCTCTTTGTCTACTTTTTAAAATTTACCGGTCTTGTTCATAATGAATTTACTGAGCTATTAAAACCCAGAGCAGAAAAAAAATCCTTGCGATTTCAGCTGTTTACTCTGTAACCACAGTTTAACACATCAMAACCTTGGTAAATCTTGTCGTGTGTTTTTAGCACAGAAAAGATGCACGACCAAAATGACCGAGCAGATGTTCTGCTGTGACAAAATAAAGTTTAACCCTTGAAAAAGTGGGGAAAAAAAAGGTTTCCAGAGAACAGATCCAACAGAAAACACTAATACCAGCACAAATGGACTGATTTACACCAAACACAGTCCAGTTGAGCCCAGATKTTGCTGCTGTTTACAAGCTTCAGAACAAGTCAGTACACGGACGGGTCGCTTCCAGTAGAACCAGTCATCCAGGTGTTGAATCTGTGTTTTAAAACAGAATCAGAACCGCCGCTTTGACGGAGTGAAAACTCTGCAACATTCGGACACCCGTGTGCTGCATGAGCTGAGGTATTTCTCTACAGTCCTCCTGTTTTCTTCATGTTTTTGTGAAAGCACTAGAGGGAGCTGAGTGATTACAGGAACCCAACATATTGGAAACAWGGCAAAAAAAATGTTCTCATGACCTCATTACCACGTGGCAGAGAGCCCAACTTAAACAAACACACAGAAGTTAGGACGGCAGCTGAAGTAAGCCCGTTGGTACTGCACTATAATTTAACAGTCGGTTACTGTAATCATAGAAAAGTACAGAATAAACCCTTAGAATAATACGCACTGATGCCAGCTTTTGAAGCAGGAGGCGCAGGTTTAAAGACAGACGTCAAAACAGAAAGAGAAAAATAATCATTTGATGAACACGTAAATGTCATCGTCTTTTTTCTCCCAATATCAGATAATAAAAGCTGGATAGATTCAATGTTTTAATTTACCTGAAGGGAGAGAGTTTTGTCAACCATTTAGTGACGCAATAAGACTTGTCATGTAGGATTTGTGTTGCTGCTGTAACACTAAAATTTACTTCAAAGACAGGGTTTTCAGGTGTGTTCACTGTATTTCAGGGAACTAGAAGAAGAATGGATCTAGACCAGGGGTGCCCAAACATTTTGCCTGAGAGGGCCAAGATTAAAATCATTTTCCCTGAAAGGTTCAAAATTAAAATCAATCTGAGAGTGGCGGGCCAAATGCAATAATATAATACACGAAATGCAAATACTTCAAGTAAAGTTGTATTTTTTATGATTAAGCTAGCAGCCAGTGCGGTTGCCCTCCTTTTTTGTTTGTTTTTTCAGCCCATGGACATGGAGAAAATTCAACGTTTGCTCGGCAACAAAGGCTCATGGGACTTTTCATAATTTAAAATTTGAGTATATGTGGTCTTATAAGGTGTGCAAATCTAGATATGGGCGTAGGAACCAGGACAACTTCTAGTGGGCCAAATCAAATGGCTTGGCGGGCCAAATTTGGCCCGCGGGCCCCACTTTGGGCACCTCTGATCTAGACCATGATGCATTGCAAAATACTGACTTTGATCATTAATTACTATGAAAAGGTCCAWTTCCTGCTAAAGCCTGAGTACATTGTGTTCAAGTATCTTTGTTTTTCTCTACTTCATCTATAAAACACATTTTTAGTTTTCTTTATTGGACTAAACTTCTCTTTATTTAATTTGCCATTTTTACTTGGTCTTTTTAACATTTAAATAAAAAGTCAGTTTTATTATTCTTTTCATAAATTCTTGACATGTTAGAGAGTGTTTTATGAGGGTTTGTATCACTTGTTTATGGAAAAAAACATTTTTTGATACAATTTAATCCCCTAAAACTCACAGTATGAACACAAGATTTAAATTGCACTGAAACTTAAACTGACATAAACACTTTAAAGCAGCTAATTTAATCATCTCTGCTTTGATCATTACGTMTCTGTCATGCAGCATCACAGTACTGTTTTTCTGTCTCCATCGATATATATACAGTGAACTCTAAAATTAAATGTTTATTTCTTATAACGTTTTTTATAAATGTGTATATGTTTTACTTCTGAAGAGGGAGCTGAGCTGTAAGGCAAAGCTCYCTGTTTACCAGTTAAACTTTGGGTAGTGACTGAAAGAACAACATCGAGGATACAAATGGTTGAAATGAGTTTTCTCCACAGGGYAGCTGGACTCTYCCTTAGAGACAGGGTAAGAAGTTCAGTTTTCCRGGACAGACTCAGAGTACAGCTGCTGCCCCTCCACATCGAGAGGAGCCAGTTGAGGCGTGTCCAACTGGAAGGAGACCCCGAGGAAGACCAAGAACACACTAGAAACTCTGTCTCTCTGGCCTGGGAACGCCTTGGTGTCCTCCCAAAAGATCTGGAAGAGGTGGCTGCRGGAAAGAGAGGTCGGGGCTTTTTTGCTCAAATTGCTGCACCCACGACCCGACTTCAGATAAAGTGGAAGACGATGGATGGATGGATGCTTTTCTGTAAAATGACATTCTTTAATTTGATCAAGCCTAAACCTTTTGTAAAACATCTTGCTGGACTGAAATTATAATCACCTCATTAGCCTCACCTTTGTGATCGAAGGTTCTTCAGGTTTTTCTTGAAGTTGCTCAGTTTTTCTTTAGGTTTTTGCTGYCTTTTCACTCATTTTAACTCTGGTCTTCCTCCACCATAGGGGTGTTTTAAATTTCTTAAATCATACAAGCACATAAAGGTCAAAGGATGAACCAAAAGTTTCATTTGAGTTCATTTTATCTGTATACCTCCAAGTCACAATGAACATCATCTCTGCACAAAAACATTCATTATAAAAGTCATTAGTAAAAGTTATKAATCTAAGGAAGCCAGCAGATTGTGTTGAATCACTTCGTCACAGTCTCCCATCCTGAGCAGCTCATTGGTGGCAGCGGAAAGGAAAACCTCCCTTTTAACAGAAAGAAACCTGCAGCAGAACCAGAACCAGGCTCAGGACGAGCGGCCATCTGCCTCGACCGGTTGGTTTTGAGGGGACAGGAAAGAGACACAGACAAACATTGAATGATCAAAAAATGGATTTAAACCCAGAACTTTAGACTCAATTTTTTCCAGTTTTTTTTATACTTGAATCCATGAAATTAGCAAAGACAGCTCCAACAAGATGTCTGTGAAATGCTCAGATGGAAAATTGTCACGATCAAATGAAGTTTGAAGCAGTAAATTTCTCAGGTTGAGTCAGGTTTGTGTTGTATTTTCTTCTATTTCTTAAAGATGCAACTTTATAGTGTTTATAGTGTTGTGCTGTTTTAGATTTGGCATTTCTTTTCTTGTCAACTTAATTCTCCATGCATTAAAGGCACAGTGTGTAGGATTTTTTCAATTCTTTTAGCCGAAATTGAGATAATCACTAATGACAATAATAAAAAACATGTCTAATCATTGCAGACAAAGACCTTGTTTTATTATTTTTACCTTATAAAAAGCTGTTTATATCTCCATAGTTGCAGGTCATGAAAGCCAAACTGCGGTGGCGGCGTCAAAAACGGTTTTAGTTGTAATACTATTTGTTGTCTATCATTGTAGCTGGGATAATTTCACTTATTAAAGCTCATAATCTAACCACTTGAAACATCACTAGCCCTGAAGC